TTCCCGCGCGACCCTCTGCGGGGATCGGCGTGGTCGAGGTGCAAAAACCCATGGTTTTTTGCGATTTCTAACATGCTCGCGCGACCCTCTGCGGGGATCGGCGTGGTCGAGGTGCAAAAACCCATGTTTTTTTTGCGATTTCTGCGCTGCTCGCGCGACCATCTGCGGGGATCGGCGTGGTCGAGGTGCAAAAACCCATGGTTTTTTGCGATTTCTATTCTACAAAAATAACATTCTAAACTAAAAAAACAAAATCTAAAAAAATTCTAAAACAAAGAAAAACTTCTAAAAAAAAAAAAAAAAAAACTAAAAAAAAAAAAAAACACTCATACAAAAAAATTCTAAACTATTCCAAAAAATTCTCTTTCTAAACAAAAAACAAAAAAAATTCTAATAAAATAAACAAAAAACAAAAAAAAAAATCTTTTCAAAAAAAATTCATAAAACAATCTAAGTTCTAAAAAAAAAAAAAAAATAAAAAACTAAAATAAGAAAAAAAAAAAGTTTCTAAAAAAACAAGTTCCCGAAAGCGCGACATGAATACAACTAAAAAATACACAAGAGCCCTGAGCAGCCTTGAACTCGAGAAATTCTGAAAGGAAGTGAATTCGGGTCTCCGAGCTTTTGGCGATTTTTTGGATGTTCGACACTGGTCCTCGGTTGCGTTTTCGCGTCCCCGAAAAATGCATGGGTCGCGGGTTCGATTCCTCCCTGGTCCGCGGGCGGGCGTCGCAAGATGCAACTTGCATTTTAAAGCAACTTGCGCAGAGCAACTTGCGCAGAGCAAGTTGCACAGAGCAACTTGCGCAGACCAACTTGCACCGACCAGTTTGCGCAGAGCGCCTTGCCTAGAGCAACTTGCGCAGAGCAACTTACGCAGAGCAACTTGCACAGAGCAACTTGCACAGAGCAGCTTGCACAGAGCAACTTGCAGGGAGCGCAATTTGCGCAGAGCAACTTGCAGGGAGCCACTTGCAGGGACCAACTTGCCGGAGCAACTTGCGCAGAGCAACTTGCACAGTGCAACTTGCGTAGAGCAACTTGCGCAGACCAACTTGCACCGACCAGTTTGCGCAGAGCACCTTGCCTGGTGCTGTCTCGCGCTTGCTTCACGAATGCTTCGTGTAGGGAAAGAAAAGAACGCATCCTGCAGCGTTGGGCCGACCTCGCTTGCGATGTTCTGCTTTCGGGCCAACCGTGGTCTAGTTGTTCCTTTCTATCTCGGGTGCTAAATAGCCCATATTGTTTCACCTTCCAGAAAGAAACGGGGATTTTCAAAAAAAAGACATTCCCAGACCCGTTTTCTACCGCAGTTTGGGAAGCCAGGCAAAGCCAGAGGCGGTGGAGAAGCTGCTTTACTTTCGCAAGGCCGGGGTACGGCTTAGTCAGTCCTGTTTTTGTGTGTGTGGCTTTTTAAGGTTGGTCTTTTCTCCTGTGAATGCCTTTAGGCAGCATTGACATGACCAAGGATGACCCGCGGATTGAGAGCTCGCCCCACAAGTTTGTCTTTGAGCGGAGGATTCAAGGGCCCCTTCTGTTGTCATATGTCAGTGTTGGCAAGATCAGAATGGTAAACGTGAAGCTGCCCGTCTTGCCGTTTCAGGTTAGTTCGATGGGGTGGGGAACCTTTCAAGATTCCTGATAGCTAAATTTCAGCTGAAGTCCCAAAACAATGAAAACCGGTTGGAAAATAAGCGGCTTGATGCCCAATTGTGCCGCTCCCTCCATCGCCTCAGAAATGCTGCATGTGAGGGGAGTGTTGCCTGAGAATGTAAGAGGCCAGCGACACCTCCCAACGAACAGTAGGCATTGCTTGTGGAACTATTGCCTGCCAGGGGTGCTCTATTGCAAGGCTTGAGCGCTGTTCGGCCCATACTTGCTTTACAGACAAGCGAATGCACATGTGGGTTCTCATCCGCTTTGAACCAACCTTGCAAGCGCGTCATTACAGTCAGAGCGTGATATTGGAATCTGACTGAAATGACGTCGCACGTGATTTGGTTGAAGTCCTCAGACATCGTCCTTCCTTATATTGACACTGTTTGCACCAGCCTGTAGCCAGTGGAAGAAGCTTCCCGTCCCCGGTTTCTAATGGGGTTCAACCATGGCTCCACGCCGGCTTTGTCTGAGGCAGATTGTGAATGGAGCCTGCGGCCGGAAGTTGGCAAGAAAGTGTCTTACACCGAGCCTCGTCAACAATTTCAGTTCAACAAACATGTGGACAGCTATGATTTCATAAAATGGGGTGGGGCGCCAAAACTGCTTCATTCATAGTTAGCGTTTTGTTCCAGGTCATGGGCCAAGTTCAAGTGCTAGAGATTGGGGGCCCAAATTGGGTGCGTGAACTGCCGACCTGCGCCGCATCTAGTGCTTCGCTATGTACCCCAAAAGCCTCAAGTGTCCGAAGAATCCAGAAAAGCATTAAAATGTTTAAAGCCATCTTTGCCTGAGGGAGTACTGGATGCACAGCGCACAACTATAGTTCGCGGAATCTTGAACCCTGAATCCGAAACAGCCTGAAAGCACATTGAAGTGCGCGCTTCAAAACGTTTGATTCCTCACAAAAAAATGGCTTCAACTTCAGACCCCTGCCAAAATGGCATATAGTATGCATGTTCAATTGCTTTGGGCACTTTGTTCCATGCTATTGGGGGTGAATCGGGGGGGAGGGGGCGGCAGTGTAATCATTGTAATTGAACTGAGCGAATTGGAGTACAATTCCAAGGGTACACCCTCAGGGCTACGGGACATTTTGGTTTCTGAAGACGAGGCTTGGGCATGCTGCTTTCCACTCGGCACTTTCCAGACCCTACTGGGCACCCACAAGCTTGGCTGCTTGACATCGCATGTGTTCGCCTCCTTGCATCCCCACGACTCAAATTGGGCATATCTCCTCGTGGTGTGAATGCCCCAGTCAAAGCCACTACATTGGGGACGCCGGTGCTCGGCCCAGCCTGGCCGAGGTGTACACTGATGACAAGGGCGCTGGTGCTAAGGATGTCTCAGCTGTCGCATCTTAGCAGACAGTGGAGGGTCAAGCAGATGATTTTGCACGCAAAAAGCGGTCAATGGCCTATTCGGGAGGGTCATGGGCGGCAAACAAAATGTGTCCTAGAAACTGGTCCATGGCGTGAACGACATTAATATGTTGACCTTCCATTTTGTCCAAGTAATGATCCTGGCTTGGCTTTTTGGCTTCTGTTTTGGGCTTGGCACCTGGGGACAGCTTGCACCTTGGTTTCTTTGATAACTCTGAATTGTGCTCAGTTTTCAGGACCGTTGCTGCGGCTTTCGCTTCGTTGCTTTTCTGAGGAAGGCGCCGCTGAGGACAAGCCGTGAATTGCCGCAATGCGTTGTCCATTGCTTGCGCGGTATGCGCTGGAAAGCAGGAAAGCAGCTTGGAAAGAGGAAAGCGAGCAAAGGAAGGGAAGTTGACAGAGTGAGCGAAGTTCACAGAAGCTCGACCGCAATTCCGATTCCGCAACATCCCGTGCTCGACACACCTCAGCTGCACCTGAATTCAGCTGCGAATTCTTGCCATGCCCGTGCCCCGTGAAGTTTGTTTGAAACGCCTGCCTGTGCAGCTTGCAGACATGGAGAATGGTCGAGTCAACTGCACATGAAGTGTTTACGCCTGTTCTGTGCAATCCGGTACCTGGAGTTGCCCCATACTGAATGCCACAGGCAGGGCTTTCGGGGCTGATAGCTAGCAATGTTGCTGGCTGAGCTTGCTGCGAGGGGCAGCTGGCAACATCGCCATTGGGGTTGCCTCAGGCGGTTGAAAGAGGTTGTCAGGACGGCACTTGGAATGGATTGCGGGCTGAATGAAGCAACCCTGCTGAATTCCAGGGCTTCTCAGCTTATTGAAAGCTCATGAAGCTCAGGTTTTGTTGGTGCCGCTTATATGATGCAGGCACATGACCAGTCTTCAAGGGTCAGGCACGCAAAGAACCTGACAAGCGCAGTGAGGACATGCATGCTATCCGTAGGCAACGGAAGACCCTGGAGACTGGCAACTAATGATGACTAGCTTCTCTTGGAGCGTGGGTTGTGCTCGCCATAGCCACGTGCACGAGAGTTGCGCTTTTGGGCAGTATAAATGGCTGTCCCTCCTCAAAGTGAGGCTCGTGATTCTCACATGCCCTGTCTGACCTTGGATAGGCTAATTCTGGACACCCAGGCAGAGGAATTGGACATGACAGACAGGTCATTTGGCCAGGGTAATTCTGAGAAGTATGGCGAGGTGACCCGGGGTGAGTCACAATGCATCGGAGCAAGAGGACGGGGTACCACCAAGCCAATAGCCTAGCAGAAAGAAAAGATACACTACCTCATGACGTGTTTTGATTGAGGTGTTGCAGAACTTGACTCAGAAAGATCCCGCTACCGACAACGATTTGACATAGTCCACCTGTATGTGATGCTTGTGGTAAAGGCGCTGGATGAGATCACTCCGTTGCTTATGACTTCTGACCTGCCCTGCAATTTTGCTCGAGGCCCCGTGGCAACCGGTGCCCGCCATCAAGGAAAAAGAGAGGTGACCCGACGGGCCTAGCGTCTGACAAGCTGAAAGAACTATGCACCTCAATGGGGAGTAGCTTGTACTGGACGTTGGAATGGTAGGGACCCGGCTCCATGGGATTGGATGAAGGAGGGGCAGTGCCTGCATGGTGCAGCTGCAGTGGTCCTTTCCGCGATTACCTTGGCTCATTGGTCGACGCCAATTGCTTTTTGCCTTGCCCAGACACAGGCATTGAAGCACATTGCCGCATGCCTGAGACATTGCTGACTGAGCAAGGTTTCCAAAGTCAGTTGATGTAGAGCTTGAAGAACACCAAATGTTCTTGGACACTGGCAAGCAACCAGCAAGTGTGTCAGGTCTGAGCGAAAGTGCCCAAGAATGTTCCCGTTGATGTCCAACCACAGGTCGAAAGCTCAAAGGTATGAATATGGCATAACTTCAAGGGCGTGGCTAGCTTTGCCTTTCTAGGTTGTGGCTAGCTCCCTTCTTAAGTACCTAGTTGTTGGTTGGCTTCAGTTGTTGTGCTAAGCTACCAGCAACTAGCCATGGACGCGCCGCCGCCTCCCACCACGCCCACGAAGACACGGCGGGAAGCGGCGAAAGTGGACTGGCAAGAGGCGGGGTTGCAAGGCTTGCACCGGTGCTGTCCTATGGAACGTTTCTGCACTCTCTGCGTCATGTCGAGCGCACCTTAGGATTCTACGATGAAGTCGGATGAAGTGGTATAAGTTCCCATACCCAAGGATACTGAAGGATTTGTTTGATTCAGGATGCTCAGGTCAAGTAGTTTTGCGGACGTTTGCAGCTCGTGGTGCAGAAGTTACCAGCGGATGGTTCGTGCTGAACTTCACCAGCTGCTAAGATTGAGGCCTCCAAAAGGAAACTCACAATGGGCAGTGTAGCCCCCCTTGTGGATCAGTTCTAAGAGGGAGCCAACTGTTTCACCAAGAAGGCAACCACTTGGAGCACTGACTACTTTTGACACATACCGGCCATAGCAACACAGTTAAGACCAGGAGATGGTGCAGCGGGGGAGGGGGACGGACAGACACACTGAATATGTACTTTGCCCGAGGCAGGGCCCCCAATCTACTCTCGTAGGGCGCTCGAATTTTCGCCTGAGGTCTCACTGAAGCTCTCCACGGGCTTGACCTTGCCGACGTTTTGGCCGGGGGCACAAGCTGTCAGTTGCGACTTTACTGTCGGTTTTCGTGCGGACAAACATCTAGCAAGCCCAGCTGGTATCTTCTGAAAAACCCACCCCACAAATACTGTAAACGGTCACGAAATCTTCTTCGCACCACCGTTCAAAAAAAACCTACAGAATGAATCAATTCCCCGAAAATACCAACAAAAGTTATGCTTTCGACCATGCTTTCAAAGGGATCATGAGGCAACCTCTCAAGCAACGCGAAAACGATCCAGGGAGGAGTCAAGCCACGACAATTTGCTTGTCAGCATGCTTGCTGCAAAGACAACGCCGCACCCATAGGGCAACTGGATCTGCAGCAGCCTGGAGGCAAAGGAGCAATTGGCACACCCATCCTGCTTTCAGCAAAAAGTGCTCGTGTGTTTATAGGTTGCAAAGTTTAGTCAACAAAATCAACACTGAAATGCAATCATTCTACACTGTTTGTGTAGAGGCTGATGTTGAGCATGCAACACCATGGCTCCCACCATGGAGAGCTTCAAGATGCACGAATGTTGCAGACAAGTTTGGAGCCAGCACAATTTATCTTCAACTGGGGCATGCTCCATTTTATATTAGTTTGGTATTGGGCAGGTTGCCCAAGATAGTTCTAATCTAGGCTTTGGTGAGTGATACGCTGCATGGTGCTACATGCGCTGGTTTTGCCGGCATTAGCCCAGTTGCTGAGTGGCACATTCGGCAGGTTCCCCACTAACGGTCAGCCCCTTTAGCTCACTGGCCAACAGCTTGCCAGAAGGAAGCAGATCTCGGGCGACAAAGTAACAGGTGGCACCCACCAGCGGAGCACCTCACGCCGGTGAGCGAGCTGTCCAGCGCAGCAGCGCCTCGCAAGACAGACATGGGTTTGCATTTTTTGGGGTTTTGAAAGGAACCCCATGGGACAACCACCCGTTTCACGGGTTACCCCACTCAAAGATTGTGCATGCCGTTAGGCTGGGTTCGGCTTGGACGGCAAAAGCGAGTTACTTTCGCTTTCGGCTAGTCCGGAAACTGTCACCTTCGAATCCATAAAGTGGGATATTTGATGAGCCCCCATCTTCTGCCGCCCCCCCACATTTTGACCGAACCTGATACAGAAACTCCATGAGGGTACCTTTCAAATTCATGCAAAATTGCTGACTTTGGAGGGGATTCTGGCATGGTTTCCAAGAGGGACTTGCTAGAAGAATATCTTAGAACTTTGTCTTCCAGGTTCCATCATTGTGCTGGGGACTCTTTTCCAACATTGCCCCTCAAACACCTCCTGTGAACTCCCATGATTGTTGGGCAAACGGGGAACCTGTTTAACCTGTTGCAACCCACCAGCACAAGTCCAAGTTTCTGGGGAGTCAGTTTGACCACGGCTAAGCACTGCATAGGTCTTGGCTGATCGCGTCGGGCGTGTGCCTAGGTCCTTTGCCTCCACGGTGCGGGGGACGTGGCCCTTTGCTGGGCCCAGGTCGCTCGGCGCCTGCTGCGAGATGAGCGCCTGGGAGGCGCCTAGAACTTAGCCCTCCCTGACTCCCTGCCTTTTTTCAACCTCCCGGTGTTCAAAGAAAAGCGGGCTTATCATACCAGTGGTTGGTTAGAAACAGATGGATCCCAACTGGTTTCAGCTTGGTTCTGAGGACAAACTGCAAGCTTTCTTTTCAGGCTTGTGTGTTTCGTTTTGGGAAGCCCTGGTGTTTGTCGGTTGGTTGACGTTTTTGTGGCTTGATTGTGTGTGTGTGTTGTCAGTTGGCGTGTCTGCTTGCCTGCCTGCTTGCTTGCTTGCTCGCTTGGTTTTGCTGTTGTTCTTGTTTGGTGGTTGTCGGGAGTTTGTATTGTTGGGTTGGTTGGTTGCCCGCTCGCTCGCTTGCTCGAGTGCTTGCTTGCTTGTTTGTGACATGCTTTGCCAAACACGCGACTTGCTTTTACGACGTTCCTGGTTTGTCTGGGCTGGGCTGGGTTTCCCACGTGCTGCCGTTACATGTTGCCGATGAGGTGCATTTTTTGCTAGCCGCGTCAGCATCACCAGCCTCACTTGGACCTGGGGTTGCATGTTGGTTTTGATTGGTTGGCAGTTGGGACTTGGACTTAGCACAACAGCGCAAAACCCAAATAAGCACCCCACCCATACACAAAGAAAAACAAAAACAAGGGACAATAACCTACCATACGCAAAACTCAAACAGCACAACTGGAGAGGACGGATCGAAAGCTGGAACCGTTTGCCAGAAGTGGCACAGCTGCCTTTCATCAGCCTCTAGACAAGTCCTCTTCATAGGCTCCCCAGCCAAATGACCCGAAGCCAGCACACAGCAGTGGGAAGAAAGCGCTAGACTCACTAGACACACCACTGCAAGCAAGGAGGCCACGCAAACACACAACACAACCAACTCAACCTAACCAACTTCACAAACACGCAAAACGGAACTCGCGCCGAGTAACTTCCAACTGCACCCACTCACCAACATGAAAACCTCAGGTCCAAGTGAGGCCGGGAATGTTGGGGATGGGGCCAGTTTGCCAAACGTCTCCCAGCAGCCAAACATCTCCCAGCAGAAATTGAGGATACCGCCTCTTGCCCCCAACCCGGAACGCCCTGGTTGAGGTGATGATGGGAATGTTGCCAGTCCCAACAAAACCAGCTCCAGGAAAAAACAGCTAGGAAAACAAAACGCACCTCTACCATCAGTTGGGCTCTGAGTGGTTTGGTACTTCCTTGGTACGGGTTTGGGCACGAACATGATGTGCAGAATTGCTTGATGCCCGAGCAGGGTCATCGTGAAGGGCTTAAAACGGAAGGTTAGGATGCTCCCACACGCACACGAACAACTCCGCCAAAGGTGCGCGCGCACACAAAGTCGGAGGTTATTTCATCCTCGACAAGAAGCAGGGCACAGAGTCACAAATTTCCTGATGCACTGAGCGATTTGATGCAGTGCATGCACGGATGCTGACCAGTTGCCTTTGGGAGCTTTCCTTTCAACACGGTTCTGTGCACTATGAGTACTGAATGAGTGCTTCATGCGAACCCCGTGGGATTCGGATTGAAAGGAGGCTGGTTGAGTCTCGCTCCAGGGCCCGGGCGTCGGGGGCCTTGGGGCGTTCGCAGGCAACGTCATCGTGGCCGCTGATCTTCGGGGCCACGGGGGCGCCGTCGTGGAGGAGCCGCTGGACGAAAGCCTCCGACGCTTGGTGCAGAAATAGCCCGAGCTGCGAGTTCCAGGGCGATTCGTGCCATGCTGTGGGATGCATTCCTTGTTTACACTGTACGGATACATTGTCGATGTATGCTGTGGAATGCATCCCCTTCGGAGGAATCAGGAGTCCCCTTCGATCAGATGGTTTTCCATCCCTAGCTTTTATTTAGCACCAAGGCTGCTTGAGCATTTGGGAGCACTTGGGGAGTGAGAGATCGGTGTGTGGCTTGTGTGGCAGAAGCCGGGAGAAACTGAACCTCAGACCTGGCAATCCAACCTTTGACAAGCAAGGTGTTTGCTTGATGTTTGATGTTTTACCTTCGCATCAGATCGAAACAAACCATGATTTCCCTCACACGGGCCATTTGAAAGATGCGCTGGGTCAAATTGCTTGCTGACCCCTAGCAAGCGCTTCCGGGACTGTATGCGACAGCATGTTGCGGGGCATCGGGCTGGCTCACTTTGAGCCGAGGACTCGACAAGCTGATTCCAGACGTGCTGTCTCTCATCAAATGCATCAGCGCAACTTGGCACAAATCTGGTAACCGGGTAACCTAGGACCTAGACCATATAATATGCAGCTAATATGCATATACATGATATCATCGCGCCAACACATGGAAGTGCACAGACCCTTGTTGGAAGACTGTCGTCCTTTTGAAATGGCAGCCTGTGCACTTCTATGTGAGCGAGGTTGTGAGGCAATGTTAATCTGCAGTTGGTAGTCAACATGCGCACCCACAAGCCATGTACTCACTGTTGCACTTACTGCATGAAATTCGGCCTGTTATGTCGGTGCAATGACTGCTTAGCGCATTTTCCAAGTGCAAAGTATTGAGGTGTTTTGCATGGTTTCGCGCATGATCTGGCCTCGACAAGGAGCACCGGGAATGCAAATAGAACATGTGTTAACAATATTGGACACGCGACGTACCACCGAATTTCGGAACGGGTCCAAAACTCGTTGAGAGCACTTTCCCAACAAAAACCTACAAATGGAAGAATGTGGTCGTGTCTCACGCTCACTTGGCTTGACCCATCCACATTTGGCTGGGAAATTCCGCTTGCGGATCCTATTGGTTGCTTGGTACTTCATGAATGGAAACGAAAGGGGGGATCCGGTCTTGTCCTCCTGGGCAGCTATGCTATTTCATGCTAAATGCCAATGGGCCCCCACTTGCATCATGGGAATCCGATGCTTGCTGAATTTCTTGTTCAGGCTTAAAAAAATGTAATGACCGAAGCTTCACAGAATCTCAGCTAAACAGTGTTGGAATGTGTTTGGTATCGACACACATCGCGATGTTTGTGAACTTGCCATTACTCACTCTGAGTTCGTGGACTTGAAACGACCATTTGAGCGGCAAACATACAGTTTGGACTTTTTTAGGCCAGTCCACTCAGATAGCAAGTGGCCGTTTCAAAGTGGCCGGAGGCTCATGGATTGAGTGGGGCCCGCCCGGAAGGTTCGAGACGGGTCCCAGGACCGGGTGGAAGGGGAGGGCCTCATCCTGGTGGGCCACTCCCTTGGCGGCTCTGTGGCGGCGCGAGCGGCCCAAGAAGCCCTCAAGATGCGGCCCCCGCTGCCCGTGCCGCCCGGATCGAGGGTTGGATGACCACCCCCAAGTGAGCAGTTCAAACCTCTAGTTATTTGCAACAGGCCCCTTTCTATCTAAAGGACTTTTCCACCCAGCTGAAAGGCAGTGACAGCACAGTTCAGCGTCATTTGGGTCATACGTTTGAAAAAATTGGAGAAAAGAGGGATGCCGCATTCGCCGTGACCGCTCTGAATCCGACTGAAACGGCCCAGCTGCGCGGCTGAAGGCGCCCCTTGCCCGAGGCGTGCGGTGGCGCTTTTGGAGTCGGTGGAGGGCACCGCCACCGAGGCGCTGCCACGGAGCATCGCCTGGATGCAGGCGGAGCCGAGTCGAGCGTCGGGTTGTCAAGACACGGCGCGCAGGACGGGATTTGGCAAAGCGATGCAAAGCGGCTCCGATGAGGTAGAGCCGATTTCAGGTATCCCAACTTGAGGTGGTTTGAGGAATTCTCCAACCATGTAGATCACTTTGGACGCAGGGTTTGGTGGGGGACCGGCGATGCGGTGCGAAGGGGCTCGGTAGTTGCCTTGCTGTTTTGTACGGTCAGGTGCTTATGGTTACCCCACCGACGAAGCTAGAACCTGAGTAGAAGGGTCCTTGCAAGCCGTTTTGCTCAAAAAGGGAGCTTGTGGTGGAGTCCATGTTAGTGGATGAGAGCGTATTTGCCACCTTGCCATTCTGAAGCGTAAGGTCACCCGCGTTTTGCCATCATTCAGGTTCGTGCTTTGAGTATTGTTCGGGTGGCAGTTTGAGGTTGATTTCTTGGTCATGTTTCATGCTGACCTGCCTCTGCAAAGTCTGCGCGGGAGTAGACTAAGCGGACGAAGTGCACGTGTCCCTTGGGTGACTAACTAAACCCCTGCAGATGCCCGTATGTGCTCACCTAAGGTAGTGCCTATTTTCAGCAAAGTGCACAGCTTGCTCAAATGTGTGGGAGCTTAGGGTGAGATTGATAGCGTGTTTTGCCAGGACCTCGTTTTGACACAACGCAGCAGATTGTAATCTCCCCCGAGTGGCCCCCTTTGCCAGCAGTCGCTCGTGGTTGCAGGAGCGGCTCGTTGGCAAAAGCTGACCAATGCCTCCCAAGTCCCCACAAGAGAGGCTCTTTCTCCATTTGCTTTCAATCCGCCATTCGTTGATTTGCATGCTACACCATCATTTGTGTATTCAACACCGCCCACTTGACGCACCATGTCCTCCAGCTGAACAGGAGACAAGTGCCGCCTTCAACTCAACATTGAATCTCTAGGGCCGGTTCGAACTCTCATGACATGGGAAGCTGACAAAGACCTCAGCAGTTGAAGTCCTTGAGGAGTGCAGCGCTGATCAGTCGATTTAGTGTTCGTTACCAGTGCCACATTCTTTGGGAGACGTTTGGGGGGAGTCGTTTTTGGGGTGGCAGAGATCCCTTTAGGCAATGGGTTAGGCTCTGCTCTTCCAGGCTCGGCCCCAGAGCTTTGGAAGCCTCGAGGCAGGCTGTTATCGGGAAACCCCAGCGCTGGTGGCTGCCGCATGGCTTCTTTAGAGGCATTCGGAGGCCCGGAAAAAGGCACAGCTATCTTGGTATCAGGGTGTGTGTTCACCTCCTTGCTCTCTCAAAACTGGTTGAACTGTGCCCGACTGTCAAGCATTTGTTCCATCCGCAGTGGCGGGATCCGTCTCAACTGGGGGAGCAGAATCCGAAGGCGACGCACATGTCACCTCCATTCGGAGATCGAAACACGTCGTTGAGCTAGCGACACCTGTTGAGCCCCATGTTGGAATAATAGGTTCGCACCGATTGCAGCAGGCAACAAAAACGCAATGAGCCTTGGCCTTTCAGAATCTGTCCACATTTGCGATGGCAACCTGCAAATGCGGCAACGCATCGGTGCCTTTTATGCATGATGGGTTGGCTTGTCGATTCAACACGTGAAGCTTGCTTCTCTAGAAATGTGTTTTGACATTTGCCCTCCCAGCTTTCCCTACTGGGTGGTGGCCGATTCTCAGCGCAGTAAATCTGCAGAAGCGCCAAGAACCCTTGTGCGTTTCTCGTCTTGCACAAGGGTGAACGAACAGTGGGCAATCGCCGTGGCAGAGGCTAAGCCGCAATTGGCCTTTATGTGTGAGAGTTGGTACTGCCGACCTCGGATGAACAAACCTGCCGGATTCACAGGCGGTGGTTTTCGCAGTGAAGTTCCGAAGGATTCTCCCGCCTTGTTCATCAGGGGTCGAAAGAACCTGGATTCGCTTACCGATTGCCCACAGCGCAGGATGCCATCGCTTGGTCCTTGTCCTCGGGCATGCTGACGAACCCACAGGCTGCCCGGGAGAACTTGCCACCTCGCCTGAAGCACACAGAGGAGGCAGGAGCTGCACGCGTGGTCTATGAAATGGCCACACGGCTTTCGTCGGTCAGATGAAGCCAATAGCGGAAACGATTGGTTGTAACATTGGGAGCTGCCCCCCTGGAAGTAGCTCAGCGAAAGTGGCTGGTGGTGGATGCCTTTACTTTACACTCGTGCAGCTCGGGCTGTTGAGTTTGCCGAGGCTTGAGCGAAGCAGTAGAAGCATGGAGTTGACATGACAACCGCAGTTCCATAGCCTTAACATGGGACAATCCCACTGAAACTTCCATCTGACGGACCAAGGAACGGGCAAGCCTCATGCTATCGTGTTTGCCTCCGCCGCGCTCTGCGTTCACCTGTCAACTTTGTTTGTCTCAACGGATGCCAAGGAAGGCTGAAGCCACCACAGACTGCAGTGACGGGCAAGATCGGGCACATTCGGATGTTTGGGGATGCTTCTTGCGGCCGGCTGGCCAGGATGGTAAGGAGCTGTGGTCCTGGATCACTGATGTGTCCCAGGCTGCTTGGATGCAGAAGCAGCACTTGCTTGCCAGACAATGTTTCCAAACGCTGGGCCACAAACCAGAGGATGTCATCCATCATATCCCTTTTCACCTTCGCGGGCAAGTCCAGTCTTGCATTCAGAAACCTGTGCCTTTGACATAATCCATCTCACAAGTCTCCGTACCTGGTTTTTTGCAAGGCCACAGCCACTTTCCAAATCCTCTGCTTGTGCGCCACTCTTCTCCTCGATTTCTGGCTGCGCCGCAATTGCCACGAGGCCAGTTCCTGTTGGCCACACTGGTTCGAGGGTCTCAGTGCCCTTTTCGTGGCGCTGCCCATGCCCAAAGTGCTGGTGGTGGGCTCTGTGGATCGCATGGACGCCACTTTGGAGGCAGCCCACATGCAGGGCCGCTTCCGCTTGGAGCCTCGGCGCCAGCAAGGAAGCGGCAAATGACCCGCCACGTCTTGCGATGAAATTCAAGTCGCAGCAAGAGCAATGAGATAACGAGTTCGTCCCAGCCTCACTTGACCTGTGAAGACACATGGCAGGCAATGGGCATTCGGCGACCCTCAACCTTAAAGGAGGGTTTCAGGCAGGCCACAAGGATTGTAAAAGGCTTCTAAGGGGGCTGCAAAGCCCAGTCCGAAACAAGAGTCACACTTGGCGGTCCTAAGGAGGTGATCCCGCACCCTGGGCATTTCATCCATGAGGATCGGCCGGATGAGGTAGCAGAGGCCCGGGGCCTGGGCTTTGCGGATGCTTGCGCTGCCTGGATCCGCCTTGTGTCGACTGGAAATGGGCATGTCCTGCAACACCCCGTCAACGGTACATAAAGGGCAGATGTCCATTGCTTTTGGGTTTGGGGAGGGGTGAGAAGGGCGATGGGAATCAAACATCATCACGCCCGAGCCGAGCTTAGCTGAGTATGGCCAGGCAATCGCGAAATTCTTGCTGCAGCTGAAGCAACAGGATATGAGCCTGACTTGCCGCTGTCGCGACAATTTTGATGCCTCGCTTTGCCTCGCAACTGCAGGTTGGAATGTCAGTCAAGCAGCCACGAAGCACGAAAAATGATGACTTGCCACGGTATGATCAGTGGGATTCAATAACGAGACGAGCCACGGTAATCAATAATGCAAAATGGGTGAGACCCAGATTTGGCCAAACACGCTTAAACGTGCTGCAATGCTTCTTTAAGCGGTCTTTGGGGGCCAGGGCTAGAACCAATTTTGCCCAACGCTGAGAGAATCAAACAGCCAGGAGGCCGCGTTTGCCAAGCTTATGGACCGGAAGGCCTGCGATCTAGTCGGTCCAAAGTTTCGCGGCTTGTGGCTTGAACTTGCCTTGCGGCCCCAGAAAGGGCGACTGGTATATCGCAAGATGAGGGGCTCATTCAGGTCCCAGTTGGTTGGATTGCTTTTGTAGCTGATAGAAGGGACAGACCCAGGTAGCCGCACAATGTTTCTTGAGAAGCACCGCGTTTGTTTGGCGATGCCTCAGCCCGGCAGACACTGCAAGCCTGCGAGGTCCTTGTGTTGTGAAGCTCGGTCTTCCCCACACCTGAAGAGCAAGTCTGCTTCTTCCTTTGGGATTGCATCCAGCATTGGAAGCAGGCGGAACCCGCTGTCTTCGCAGGCTCTATTGTTTTGGTATGTTTTGCAAACGTGCTGGTAAACATATCATACAAAATGTGGGTATGTCTCAACATTAGGGACCCCCCCAAAAAAGAAAGGAAGAAGAAGGAGAAGAAGAAGAAGAAGCAGCAAACAAAACAAAAGGGATGCGTGTCTCGTCGATTTTCCCGCAGAACGCACAACACCCTGCGCGTGTCCACGTCACGATCGCCTTGAGGCCTCGCCCTCCTCTTCTCCAAGCGCCAAGCGCCAGCGCACCGAATGAGCGGACAGAAAGCGCTGGCCTGGGGCATTTTTGCAGCAGGCCCCAGAGATACGGCTAACTTTGGGGATGTGGCTCTGTCCAAACTCTGCAGAATTGGTTGAACCCCTTCCAGCTGGAGGTAATGTTTGAAGTCATGAAACTGCATAGACGGACTGACTCATTGTCCCACACGTCCCGTCATGCCAACCAGCCAATCAGCCACATGCTCAAGCCAGCTTCAAGAAGGAGTTGGCCAGCGGACCGACAAGGAGAGTCTTGCACACACCTGTGGCTTGAGCCGGCAAGAGCTTCGCCCCAGTCAAACTCTTTGTGTTTACCCTTTGTCTTAATGCAAACAAATATATGTTGCCAAGACTCCAGAACCCCCTACTTCACTGGTGTGTGTGTGTGTTCCACGGCTGCCTGATGCTCTTTGATAGCGTTTGCCATCAGAAGTATACAATCGCCAGTGTAACGCGATCAGAACTGCTTTGAGAATTGTTGACTCGGCCGGGCATTGCCGCCCTGGTGCCAGCCAGCCATGCTCAACTGCGGAGCAATGGACGGTAAGATGATTGAGCAGGAGATGCAGCGTCTCCAGGCAGAGTACAGCTCACTCAAGGCCGGCATGTTTGGGATGCTAGTTCGGAAGCGCTGGTTATCATGCGGCGTTCTTCGCCAAAAGCCAGGGGATTGCTCAGAATAGATGCACACGTACATGCACACCTCCAAAGGCGCATGTTTCGGAAGCAGCAAAACCATGCCAAGCCCAAAATCCTCCCCTTTGCAGCCCTTACGGCGTTTTAGAGGGAACTGCAGGCGAGTGCGGACGAGGAGGAGGCCGCAGATGAGGTGAAGCTGCACGATGCGCAGTTGGAGCGCTTGCGGCTGCGCGGGATGTTGGAGCGCTATCGTGACCGGCCACCCAAGGTCGAAGAGCTGGCTGAGAGGCCGAATGGGCAGCGGAGATGCGGAATTGAAGAGTTTGGGATGTCTTGGGAGGTTAGGTGCTCAATTATTTCAAAGTGCCTGTTCATTTGATGGCAAGACAGTCAGGGATTTGGCGCTTCGTGCTTTGTAGGGTAAGCATTGCGAGGCTGTGGAGCCGCACATCCAGGGGTTGGGTTGAAATACTGGATTGAATTCAGCAAGAGCATTGTTCTTCACAAGCAAGGAGCGGAAGGCCTTTTGTCGAGCTTTAAGGCAATAAAGCAAGTACGAAGCATACCCAGAGCCTTAGGTTTGGGACGTGTACCAAGCATCCCAACAAGCAATGCATCCTGCCTGGATGCTTGAAGGGTACCTTCAGGTACGAGGCGGAGATCGACGAGTGGGCGGAGACGCTGCGCCAGCTTCAGGAGGAGAACGCTTTGCTGGTGCACCAGGACTACGAGGAGGCCACTCCCAGCCGGACGCCGACCCGAAGGACTTGGCAAGGTAGAATCCAGGCCTTCCTCGTTTGGTTTTTCCAAGGAAGCCCCGAGTTCCAGGTTTGGCAACCCAGGCCCCCACCAGCTCTTCAAGGTGAGATGGGGACGCGTCGGGATCAGAGTGGGGCAAAGTATGTTCTAACAACCCTGGGGCCCTTTCACAGGGAAGTCAACAGGAAGTGGAGCACACAATGTTGACACATGTGGATGGTCCTACCCTGAGTGGGGCCTTTCGTCCACACGGGTATGTTCTGTCCAACCGTACTCTCTTTCGGATGGTCGAAAGCTGAATCAACAGGAAACTCCTCAGACAAATAAACTCTAACTCCTAGGGAAGACCACCATGTTATTCAACCGGCCAGGTGGTTCTTTAAGAGACTAGTTCAACAGCTTCAACCAACAGGTGGGTTGACATTAACTCTGAGGAACATCTCCACCAGAGTTGATTGGGTGTAAGATGAGACTAAGACTGGCGTTTGGGTTGTTCATTGTTTCCCTCATCTTTAACACCGGTGGCCCCACTACCCCACCCATACCCCGTGCCCCCTGCCGTGCCATCTCGGACTCGAGTTGGAGGATCTCCAAGGGCACAGCCCTGCGGCAGCACAAGGCGGCCCGGGAGGTGCGGCAGCTCGAGGCGCAGCTCGCGGCCCTGCGGCGCCGGACCCGGGTGAACGAGTGGTACCTGGCGCAGCTCAAGGCCCAGCTGCAGGACGGTCGGTCCGCCGGGGACACGCCTGGGATGGACAGATTTTGGGATCGAAAGGTGCTGACCTCCAAAAGTTGGTATCTGCTTGGTTCCTTCATGTTCCTTCTTGGATCCACGAGGTCCCAGGTTTGAGCACGGGCCCGGTTGAGGCAAGAGACAATTCATGTCGCGCGTATAGCCCCAGTCGGAGGTTTGATGGTCAAATTATGTTTGTCACTTCCTCCAAACTGCATTGTCACTTGGAGATGTTTGGACGAACTGTCGCTTTTCTCAGGGCACAAGAAAAAGGCAAAACGAAAAGCAGGATGCAGCAGGGGAAAATGGGCATTGCACTTGTTTCCTTTGGTTGCGAATAATACCCCTTTGGTTTTTGAGGGGTCCTTCACCGCACTTTGTGGAAAAGAAACGTAGAACCATTTGCAATGCCAAAGCAGTTGAGCTTGGCCAACTGCATGCTGTGTTCAACACTAAGTTGACTTCGGAAGATGTTTGGGGTTTCTTGCTTACTTGCTCGCTTGCTCCTTGGTTTGTTTTGTTGTGTTTTGGTAGGTTGCGTGTGTGCGTGCGTGCACGATCGTGCACGTTTGTGTTTTGCTTGCTTGCTTGCTTGCTTGCTTGCTTGCTGGCTTGCTGGCTTGCTGGCTTGCTGGCTTGCTGGCTTGCTGGCTTGCTGGCTTGCTGGCTTGCTGGCTTGCTGGCTTGCTGGCTTGCTGGCTTGCTGGCTTGCTGGCTTGCTGGCTTGCTGGCTTGCTGGCTTGCTGGCTTGCTGGCTTGCTGGCTTGCTGACTTACTTCCTTGCTGGCTTGCTCGCTTGCTGGCTGGCTGGCTTGGCTGGCTGGCTGGCTGGCTGGCTGGCTGGCTGGCTGGCTTGTTCGCTTGCTTGCTTGCCTGCTTGCTTGCTTGCCTGCTTGCTTGCTTGCTTGCGTGCGTGCGTGCTTGCTTGCTTGCTTGCTTGCTTGCTTGCTTGCTCGCGCGCGTGCGTCCGTGCTTGCTTGTGCGCTTGCATGGTCGTGTCTTTATTTGCTTGTTTGGTTTGGCTTGGTTTGTTTGCTTGCTTGTTTGTGGGACAGGGTGCGAACGAGTCAACCATTCGGCCAACCCTGAAGGAGACTGCAAAGATCCTCCAAGGCCAGGACAACAAGTCGGGGGGGGGGGAACGTGTCCCTTTTACGTCAGTTTGGGTCAAATCATTTAATTTGCCAGCGTGTCCTGGCAAACCCCGCCAAGCAGCCTCAGGCAAAGAGAACCACCTGAAGGACCTCCGGGAGCGCTTTGATGCGGCTGGTGAACACCGCCAGCGCTTGAGGGAAGAGCAGGCAAGGCGTTTGCCGGCATATGCGGTATTCTTATATGCTCGCATGATGTTGCCAAGTCGAATCAGCTATGAATTTGCGTTGGCACGGTATGCCATTTTTTGTTGCGGCCTTATATTATAGTTCTGGCGGCCTGGTTGAATGGCAAATCATTTGTGCAGCAGACCTGGGGGTTGCTATGATTCTTGGTGATGACCCATGTCTTGGAATTCAGGCTAGCCCCTGGAGGTACGCACTCAGCAGATGCTGGAGAGCGAGCGGCAAGAGCTGGTTCAGCTGCATCAGGAGGCGCTGGCCTTGCGAGAGGCTTGCTTTCTGCCAGCTCAGCTGAAGAAGAAGAGCAGCGTGCTGACCAAGTTTCTGGAGGACGGTTCCTTTTGTCTGGAAGGCTTCCTTTTGTTTTGTCCAGCCCTGGGTCCAAAGAACAAAGCAAGGTGCAAGCGTTTATGTGTTTGTGCTTCTGCATTTGGAGATGTGCAGAGTGCAGAGCAGATGGTGTGGGCGCAAACCAGCTGAAGCATGCCTCCCCGGATTCAACCGAAAAGACGGCCCAACTTGCAGACAGAATTGCTCCTTGGTCAAGGGCACAGGTCAATAGTGTGACCCTTTGCCTTTGTGATTTGGGATCAACATTGGAAGGTGGCACCCTTGAAAGCCGTGGCTTCCCACAAGAAAGATGAAGCGGGCGGGTGGGAGGACTGTTTTACCAGCGGCCTGTGCGACGTGGAAGGCACGAAGTGGGGACCCTTGCCGCGTCACCGTGCCAAAAGGAAGCACCAAGCGAGCACTTGGGTCCCTAAGAGCGAGAGTCTTCTGGAGGAGGGCGGTCGCCACAAAATGGAGAAGCACCTCCGCGGCCGCGACACGGTGACGAAGCTCTACAAGAGCGTAGCGGAGCAGGCCGCATGGGCGCGTGGCCGAGCAGCCGGCGTGGTAGCATTGGTTGCCTTTGGTTCAACAAGTGCGTGAGGTCAACCTGCCCATTTTTTTCAGCATCAATCAGCACAGCATTGCCGAAGCGAGCAGAGCACTGAAATTCATGGTTGTGTCTTAAGGCTAGTGGAACTCCAGAATGGCTCGTTTCGATGCTCCCTTTGAAACCAACTAAAAGTGGGTTTCCAAAGCTTACATTGTTAAATCCCGTGTGGTTCCTGTGTCAAGCAAGCAGGTCCATGCCAAGGGGAAGGAGGCACGCTTTGGACTGCATGCAGTTTCAATGCTTCTAAAACACGGCCTTTGCCACAGAAGTCCCACACAACGTCTTTCAGTCGATTGTTACCAGACACTGGGCTTAGCATTAGAACATAGTTGGTTTGCTCCATGCATTTGCGGCGCGTTTTGGCACGTGCACCCCCGCATAACATGCTTTCCTTTGGGTCCCTTTGGTTTTTGGCTGGTTTCTCCGTAGGTTTCTTGATGTACTCGTTCATTGACAGGCAAACTATGTGGCGAGCTCACCTGGGGATGATGCACTGGGCTCACCCATGAACGCTAGACCGTTAGACCATTTCTCCTTAACAAGGACATGGGCCCTTTCTTGGTTTGTTGGGCTGGCATCCATGTGTTTTGGTCAAGGTGCCATTCTACTCAGGCTCGGTCAGGATGACCAGCCCTTGTTTAATACTGCAGCAGTTGCAGACAAGCGTAAGGATTCCAACCAACGTATCCCTCTGATAGGAGCCGTCTTTCAGGTTACTTGCTCGTTTTCTGGGGGGCACCATCCATGTGTGGCAAGGATGGCCTTCACTGTTTAATGGGAGTTCCAGAGAACCAACATAAGGATTTTCAAGAAGGAGCATTTTCAAGAAGGGAGCGATGGCCATGGCTGGCAGGGGCCGAGCCCGTCTCGAGGCTCCAGAGCTCCAAGCCCTGGCTGGCCGCGCCAAGTCAGAGATGGATGCCGCCTTCGCCAGGCGGGGCGCGACAGATCTTCGGTCCCAAAAGCATTCAGTTTTGGTTTTGTATTGATGCATTTCATGTGCTTGGATATTAGAACTGATTGGCCAAGAGCTGAGTTTCTGAACCTGTTCGATTCCAGTTTGGTTATGCAGTACTCGATTCCAGTTTGGTTATGCAGTACTTTCGAAATCCTGCACCGATTTGAAGCCATGGGAAACCATTGTTTGTTGGCATTTAATTACAGGGGAAGAATCTTTCCAGGGTTTCTTAGGTGGTGCAGGATTTCGTCCATCCACAGTATGTTGCTCAGCCACGGCAACCACAAGTTGCACCTTGGGGCAAGTGAGCCATCAGCCCACGCTGCCGATGTTTTGACCGACCAAAAGGAACTGCGTGGCTTGTGATAGGTAAGAAGAGGAAAACAAGGTATCGGGCAAGCTGCCTTCGCATGCAGTGGGTGCGTGTGTTTTTCCACCAAGGACGTGTTGGTTTGCAAAACATGTGGACCACTTGATTTTGCGTGCAGAGCAGACTTGGGCACTGCAAACCTGACAATTCTTGCGCCAAGGGCCAAAGGGTAAGCCCTCACAGTACACTTTGCGCCATTGACGTGTTGCTGCTCAAATCCAGTGTTGCTTTCGAACATGTTGGGTTCGCGAAGCCTGTGCTAAAGAATGCCGTGAAGAACACAAGCACATGTTCACTTCTTTGGTCATATGCTTGGACTGCTCAGAGCAGGTCTCCCCACCATGAGGCTCATGCGTTGGCAGTGCAATGGCAATGGACTGGGATTCATGATCAATCCACCCCCGCTGGACCCAAGCCAAGAACAGGAACAACCAAAGCTCAGCTGCGAGAACCCTCTTTCGCCTCTTGAGGTACCAGCAGCTGCAGTTGCAACACAGCCGCTTGTTGCAGCAGCTGCGGTTAAACTTGGCCAGGGATGCCTTGTCAGCCAGTCCTGAGCGGTCCAAAGTCGTCGAAGGGAAGCTGCGCTGAAATCAAGATGAATCTAATTTTAAAAAAGAAATGCAATTTCATTTTGCCTACGCCTAACCCATTTCAGATCATTTACAGGACGTAAGAGCATTGGTATGTTTGTTTTTTTTGTTTTTGTCTTTTTTGAAGATTAGATTAAATTAATAAATAAACTTAATGATGAATAAATATATGTTTTAATTGAATATTATTTTAATTCGAGAAGGGTTTTGGTTTGTTTAAATTTATAGAAAGGGGTCGTTATGGGGGCTGAATTCTGTGATTTGAATTTTGTGATTGTTGATGTTGGACGGATGTGGTTTTTGATTTGGAATTTATTGTAGATGCTGGGGTTGAGTTTTTTAGGTGGGGGTGGTTGTGTTTTGTGGTTGTATATAAGTATATTGAGGAGAGGGGCGTGGCGGTCTTGGGGAGTGCGGGGGGTGGGAGTGGGTGGGGGGGGTTGGGAGGGGTGGGGTGGGGGGGGGTGGGTGGAGTGGTGGTGGGAGGGGGGCGGGGGGGTTGGGGTGGGCGCGTGGGTGGGTTGGGGCGGGGGCGTCGGGGGGTAGGAGGTGGGGGCGGGGGTGGGTTGTGGTTGCGGGGCGGGGTGGTGTGGGACAGTGGGGGGTTGGTCGGTGGGGGCGTGGAGGTGGGTGGCGGGGTGTGGCGGTGGGCGTGTGGGGGTGGGTGGGGGGGTGGAGGGGTGGCGGGGTGTTGTGGGTGGTAGTGTTGGTGGGGTGGGGTGGGTGCGGGGGTAGTGGGGGGGGGGGGGGGTGGGAGGTGTGGGGGGGTGGGCTGGGTGAGTTGTAGGGCGTGGGGTGAGGCGGCTGGGTGTGGGGTGGGCGAGTGGTTGGGTGGGTGGACGTGATGGGGGGGGGGGGGCTGTTGCTGGGGCGTGGTGTGCTGGGGGGGAGGGGGTGTGTGTGGCGGGGCGGTGTGGGGAGGGGGTGGGGGGTGTGGTGGGGCTGGGTAGGCGTGGGGGCGAGGGGAGGTGGATGGTGGGAGGGTGAAGGGGGTAGTGGGGGGGGGGTGGGTCGCGGGGCGGTGACGGGGGAGTGGGGGGGGGGAGGGGGAGGGGGAGGGTGGTAGGGGTTGTGGGTGGGTGGGGCGGTGGAGGGGGGGCGTGGGTGTGGGGTGGGTGCGGGGGGGGGGTTGGGTAGGCGGGGGGTGGGGGCCTGGGAGGGTGTTGTGGGTGAGTGCGTGGGGGGGCGGGGATGGCGGTGGTGGCGGGGCGGGTCGGTGGTGGGGGGTGTGTGGGTGGGGTGTCGGGGGGTGGTGGTTGAGGGGGGTGGGTGAGTGGGGGGGGTTGGGCGGAGTGGGTGGGGTGGGGCGTGGATTGAGAGATGGGCGACGGGGAGTCGCGCAGCTGGGGTGGGTGTGTGGGGGGGGTGTTGGGGGGGGCGAGGTGGGTGGGGGGTGGGGGAGGGGGGGGTGTGTGGGGGTGGGGGGGGTGGGGGGGGGGATTTTTGTTATATTTGTAGGGAGTTTGAGTAGATTAGGTATTATTAGTTGATTGTGGGGGGGAGGGGGGCGGTGGAGACCGGGTGGATTTGGTGGTGGGTTTTTTTGTGACTAGAGGGGGGGGATGGTGTGTGGGGGTGAGGCGGGCTGGGGCTGGTGGTCGTGGTGGACTTTTCTTCCTTTGTTGGTGGTGTTTGTATTTTTGTAAAATAATATTTTATTGATATGGTTTTCGAAGTTGGCTGGTTGGGTTGGTTGGTGTCGGGGGGGGTGGGTTGCTTTCGGCTGGGGGAGGGATGGACGGTGAAGGGGGCAGGGGAGGACGGGGCGGGGCCTGGGGCATCTGGTGGGGGGGGGGGCCTAAGCCTCGGCGGTCTCGAGATTGTTGAGGGATGAGCGGAGGGGACTGGCGGGGCGGGTAGGGGGGGGAGGGGGGGGAGGCACAGAGAGGGGGGGGCGCGGGCAGCGGTTTCAGGGGGGGTCGCTGGGCGGGGGGCGCCCGGGGGTGGGTACGGGGGCAGAGGTCAGGTGGGCAAGGTTGAGGGGGGTCGGCGGGGTGAGCCTGGCCTGTGGGTGCGGGGGGGGGGGGGCTGAGGGGGGAAGCGCCGTGTGTTGTTTTTGGTTGTCTATGTTGTAGTTAGTGGGAGGGTTTATCGTCTATTTTTTCCCCAACTCGTTTGTGTGGGTGTGTTAGGGGATGGCTTGAGGGTTTGGGTTAGTGGGCTGGGTGGGGGGGTTGTGGGGTGGGGGGGGTTTTTTGTTGTGGGATGTTCATTTTTATAGTGGGGGGGTGGGAGTGGGTGGGTTTGGTGGGAGTTGTGGTGAGGTGGTGTTGATTGGCGGCAGACGCGGGGGGTGAGGGGTGGGTCCAGCCCCATGAGGCATGCTGAAGGCACTAGGGGTAGCGGTTGGGGGGGTTAGAGGGGAGCTACGGGTTAGGGGGCGGCGTGAGGGTCCGGGGTTTCGGTATGCCGACGTTGCGGGGCGCGCCGGGGCGGGGCGAGGTCGGGGGGGGCGGCGGGTACGATGCATCGGGAGGGCGGGTGGTGTTTGGGGGTGGGGTTGTGGGGGTGGGGTTTTGGGTTGTTGGGGTGTGTAGGTTGGGGGGGGGGGAGGGTCTGTGTGGGGTGTTGGTGAGTGGGGGGGGTGAGGGGGGGGGGGGAGTTGACGGTGGGTGGGATGGAGCGATGGCTCGCGCGATGACGGTATGGCCCGGCCCGGGGCGCGTGAAGGGGGGGCCAAGACCGTGCAGGGCGGGGGGAGTGGGGAGGGGGGGGGACGGGCGGGAGGTCGGTGGGGGCGGGGGGGGGGGGGCAGAGACGAGGACGGCGCCCGCGCGGGTCGTGGGTGAGGGGGAGGACGGGGCGGGTGGGTTTGTTAAGGGGGAGGTGGGGGGTGGGGGGGGAGAGGGGATGTGTGTGGGATAGTGGGGCAAAAGAGGGCGGGAGCCGGGGGCTTGACTTTTCCTTGCATGGCTTGCCCGGGGGGAGTAGGTTTTCCAATTTTTTATATTAATAAATATATTTTTTTTAATGATTTTTTTTACGTTAAGAGCTGGGTGAGAGCGCTGTGTGATTTGGGTGGTGCGTATTGTCTATTTGGGTTCAGGTGAGTTGGGGGGGGGAGTATTTTTGTGGTTGTGGTGGTGGTATGTGTGTGGTTGGTTAGTGTATTGGGACGGCGTTAGTGTGGGGTGTGTGCTTTCGGGGGCGCGGAGATGTGGCGGGTCCGTGTATTCTTTTTCCTTATTACTTTTTCTAGGTAATTGGGAATATTTATGTTATTTATTATTTACTTTTTTTGTAAGATAAATTTTTTTAACTATGTAATGTTTGTGCGCCTGAATAATTTTATTGTTGCAAGAGGTCTTTAGCAACACGAATAGCTACAGAGAATTTTATTCCAAAATTCTTGTTGTTATTCTAACTTTATTTTCAGAGAATACTTATTCCATAAATTCTTTATTCCAACATGAACATTTGTATACAGATGAATAGTATGTTATATCTATAGAATAGCGTTGGCCGTATTTGTTTCTTTGTATTAGTGCTTCTTTCGTTCTTTAAACAACTAGAGTGGAGCCTCTCTGCTCTTTCTAATTGCTCCTGCGTTAAGCGTTATTATGTATGCGATAGAAATTCAGATCTATATTGAAAGAAATATTTGAAGAAGGTCTCAGTATATACATATAATTGAGGCTTTGTAGTTGAAAGTTGTTTAAATAGCGAGTTCGTGTTCGGGCGGTATGATTAGTGAGAGGTAGGGTGTTATAGGGGGGCGTGGGGCGGGCTCGGGCGTGGGGGGGGGGAGGTTGGGGGGGAGGGGGATGTGACCATGTGGTGCGGTTGATGATATATAGGCTTTGTGATTCTTCCTTAAATCCGGTTCGCCGTGCGGGGGTTGTTTGGTTTTCCGTGGGTGGATTAGTGGTCATTCCGTTGGAGGGTGGGGGGTTGGGGGGATTTGCTGGTGGATGGAGGGGTGTAATGGTGGCGGGACTGGGTCGCGGGCAGGGGGGGGTGGGGGGGCGCGCCGGCGGGGGGGGAGGTGCCGGGGGCGGGCCGGGTGGACGGCGGCACGGGTGGATCTAAGAGACTGGGTCCTGGGCGGGGTGGACTGTTGGATGTGGCGGATTAATTGATAGTGAGTGACGGGGCCATCGCGGGTGGAGCGCGGGGCTTGGCTAGGTTGAGGGGCAGTGAGTTAGGACCGAGTAGGGGGGGCCCCATCGCACCTTTTACTCGCTCACCTGCGGGTTGTGTCATTAGATTTTTGTGTCTTTTTGGCTAATCTTAATCAATTTGTGTGGTCACCACTATTTATAGTAGATCGATGTGGTGCATGAGTATCTCGATAAACATTCGTCTTCCAAAATATTGTATATATATATATAAGTTCTGTTGATGATTTATTGCCTCTCAACACCTACCCCCCGCCCCCACGACGGTCCCAAGATACAACCCCCAGTCGACACCATAGATTCTCCTCCACACTAAACTTTCTATCACTACTTTCACGCACCACCACACCCGATCCAGCGCAGCTCCCTTTTCCATATACTTAGCTTAAGAGTTGGAGTCCTCTTATTTTAGGAACCGAAGGGGGTGTTTGGGGGGTTTGGTGTCTGTTTAGGTGTTCTGTCCGTTGTGGTCGGCTTGTTAGGTGTGGTATGCGCTCAATAATTTTGGGGCTGGAGCAGCGGGGTCACTATGGTTGGGCGGGGGGATGGGAAGGACGGTTGGGGTCCGGGGTGGTGGTTTGGGCTCGCAGGGGGGGGGCGGTGAGCGGGGGGGGTGGTTTGTGGTGGGGGCTGGCCTGGAGGGGGGGGGGGGGAGGGGGGGGAGGGGGTGGAGGGAAGGGGGGAAGGGGGGGGCGCTGGGGGGGAGCGGGGGGGGGGGGGGGTGGGGGGGGGGGGGGGGTGGGGTGGGGGGGGGGCGGGGCGGGGCGAGCTCAGTGTCAAGGTCGATGGCTGTCGGTGAGCGGCATGGGGTTTGATGGATGCTGTATTGTGGAGTGCACTGTTTACAAAATCAAAAAAACATTTTGTAGCAGTTGACAAAATGTGATGTTGGGTTGTGGGGGTGTGGGGGGTTATTGATGTGATGTATTGTTTTGTGGTGGTTGAGTGTCGATGCAGAGTCTTGGAGGTGCGTGTAGCATAGTGGCTTGGGCTTTTGGCTGTGCGGGGGTGTTGGATATGTGGACATTGGGAGGTTGTGTGGGGGGTTTGGGCGGTTTGGGTGTATCTTTTTGTTTTTTGTCAGGGTGGGGGGGGGATGGGGGTGGTGGGGGTTGGGGGGGGGGTTGGGGGGGGGGTGGGGTGGGGGGGAGGTTTTTTTTTTTTTTTTGTAATTTTTGTCTTTTCCCTTGTAGCCTATTCGTGCACATTTTGTCTTTGTTGTTCCTTGGGGGGGGTGGGGGTGGTGAGCAGGACATTGGACCCATATTTTGCGAGTGGGGTTGGCGTGGGGCGGTTGTGGGGTTGGTGGGGGGGGAGGCGTTGGGGGTGGGTGGGGGGGGGGGGGCGGGGGGTTTTTTGGGGGTGGAGGGGGGGGGGGTGGGGTTTTTTTTTTTTATTGCATGTGTGCGCTAGTAGGAATGTTGTTTTATCTTGGTGGTTGGCTGTTTGTCGGGGGTCGAAGGGTGGGTATGTATTTAAGGGATTGTGTATTGGGATATTAATAATAATTATTTCCGGGGATAAGTATTGACAGGCGCTTCGCCAGAAGGACGGCCGCGACGTCCCTCACCTCTCCTTTCGACTTCCGGTCAGCGGCTGCACTTTCCTCTTTTATTAATTCAAAAAAATCCTATTATAAAAATATAAATAATAAATCCTATATAAACAGTTCATCCTCCGTTCTTCCACTTTGCACCCTTTTCTTCTATCTCTTAGGCCCCAATATAAACCATATATACAAACCAACATATCTTAATCTAAAACATAAACTAACTCTTAAATCCAAATTATAAAAAAGAATTAATTAAACAAAATATAATCCTAATATACATAAAACCATAATAATCAATATTAATTATATTAAATCAATCCAATTTTCAAAATATAACCAAGATTCTTGTATTAAATCAACCTCCTAAAAATTAAAACAAATATTTTCAATATCTTCTCTTTTCATCCAAAAAACAAACAAAATCCGAAATCATCGTAATAATTAATATATAATCTCAAAAATTAGAATCCGAGCCAATATCATAACATTAACATTAATCAAACAAAATCAAAAAAAAACATAATACAAAAAAAAGCAAACACAATCCAAAAACGGTACTATAACATCTAACATCTATTCGATAAAACTAAAACATACGCAAAAATAGAAATAAGAATCCCGAGCCGCTTTCTAACATTTAATGTCCAATCATACAAATTATAAAAGGCATGCAATTGAGGATTTTTGCGCAAGTACTGCTTAGGATGCTGGTTGGGGTGTTAGTTAAGGTGCTGTTCGGGCGGTGCTGTTGGAGGTGCTAGCGTGCAATCGTTGGCAGTTGTCCCGTTGTCTATGTTGGTGTAATGTATCTATATATATCCAAACCTCAGCCTTTCTATGGCATCCTTTTTCCCAAGTATCACCATTCAATGGATTGGGATATGATTGCAGCGCAGTATGCCTCAGATCAACAAGCCCTGACAGGCAGCACGAATTCAGCTGCGCAAACATCTATCTTGTCAGACTTTGCCCCCTTGGCGTAGCCTGGCTGAGTAATACGAACCTGCCTGTCGAAGTGCCACTAATCAGCGCTGAGAACCGCCGGGGCACCACCAGTCCACTGCGGCACTGGCTCCGGCGCAGCAAATCCCTTGCTGAAGTGGACCAAACGGCCAAGGCATCTGCCTCGCGAACCTTGGCACGCTCCGCTGGCTCAATTGTTGAAAGAGTGTGGGACTCTATATAGGCCCCAGTTCTTCCATGTTTTGCTCACTGTTTTTCTAAATGGGATTCGTAAAGGGGGGACCCCCCCCCCGAAACGATGCGGGTATCTAGAATAGCATCTTGAGATCCAGGTGAAGTGAGTTTCCATTTGATTTAGTATTGGTAGACTTGAGTTTCCATTTCATTTAGTATTGCTGGAGCTTCCTGTTGTTTTTCTTGGGGGGGTCCAGGCAACAAGACTTTATTTCGGGGGCCCCTGAAATAATGTCAAGTTGGGGGCTGAAGTCTAAGATGGGTTTGATTGTTTGCAGGTTTTAAACAAGAGACATGTAAGAAAACATGGGTTTGGTAAAGCTGACAATTTTGGATTTGAGGAGCAGGCCCAAATCTAACAACACAGCATGAAGCACTGCCAGCCTCTCCTGGGTTGTCTAACTGCTTGACTAGCGTACAGGCAATTGCACTGGGCAGGTTGCATTTTTCAGGGGGCCAGGCAACAAGACTTTATTTCGGGAGCCCCTGAAATAATGTCAAGTTGGGGGCTGAAGTACTACCCCCTTTGTGGGTTTGATTGTTTGCAGGTTTTAAACAAGAGACATGTAAGAAAACATGGGTTTGGTAAAGCTGACAGTTTTGGATTTAAGGAACCAGGTACCAAAGATCCAAGGACCAGGTGTTGGCTTGGCTATCTCTCCTCTCCTTTCTCTCTCCTTTTTTTTTTTTTGCGCGGGAGGCGGGTGCTTGTCTTTAATCCAGGTTCATTTATTAATATTTTTGGGCCCCCCATTTGTCTTTATTACGCGTGCACTTTTTAATCCCATTGGGACATTATCAACACATTGGGCTTGTGCTTCCGACAATGCATTCCACTGCATGTTGTGGTCAAATTTTGATGCTATTTGTGTTTCTGAATTTTAGAGGAGGCAAAGCCACTTACAAACATGGGCAAAGTGATCTAAGAAGGAATGCTGAACACCTGTAGTTGTGCTCTCCTATACCCCCACGGGCAATCATGGAGTGACTGACCTATGGAGGGTGCAAGTGGGATGAACCAGGGGGCCGGGGGAGGGGGGGGCCCTCAGCCCCCCTTACAAGATGTAGTGCAGAATCTAACTACTCTTCTTTGTTCAATCTGATGAGGATCGTTGTGGAGGGCACAGGCGTAATTAGTCACCCCGCACCGGTCTTCTCTCGGGGGAGCAGAAGAAAAACAAGAATGACACTTGTCCCTCTTTTTCCTCCCCCTTCAAATCATGAACCTCCAGGACTATATGGTTTCATGTCCCGTACCCTTCCATCCTATGAGAATGAACACCCGCATCCATCAAAACACCACCAGGCAAATGCGCACAGGGGGTGCTGTATAGGTAACAAACAAAAAACGTGTGCAAATGATAGCATGGTAAAACTGGGGGCCTCCACGCTGATCCCAAAATCAATAGGCTGCTGGCAGCCAGCACGCCACGTCAGACCGCCAAGCAACCTTGCCGGCCAGGAGAAACAGCCGCTCCGCGTCGCGCAAGCGACCTCCAACCACCAGGCAACGTGCGGCCGAGGTGGTGCTGAGTTGCGCCTGGAGAAGCAAAGGTCAATAGCATTGGGGCAAACGGGCAGCTCGTGTTGTGTTGCCAGCAGTTTGGCTCATTTTGTGTCTCGAGCAAATCGTCTTTTTGGTGTATCAAAGCTGCGGCGAATGCGCACTCGGGAATATGCACTCGGTGCAGCACATGCACTCTGGAATCCACACTCGGTGCAGCAAACGACAGCAGCCTTGCAAATGTATGCATCCCCCTCTGTATTTAGGGGGTGGGGTTGGAACAGCCACTAGAGTTCTGGTGCCAATGAATTCTTTGTAACGCCTGACCACCAGTTTTGAAGCTCCTTCCAATTTTTTGGCTGCAAAGCCAAGTGCCGGCCCTCCAGGTCAGCTGCGATTCGCTGGGAGTTGCACTCCCTCTTCACAATCAGGCGGCTTTGCTTGCTTCCCTTCGTGAATCTCTGTGCTGGAACCTTCCTCAGGAGACGTGTCCGCCGCTGTTGCAACTTGGCCATCCCCTTTTCCGAAATGAAAAATCCTTCGGGCACAGGTCCCTGAGGCCACATCCCTGACAAAGCTGAGTAGCTACGAAGCTCGGCATCTACACCTGGCACATGGGCTGTGCCCACAACGGCAACGATCCTTTTGTGGCCCAGCTTTTCTGCCCAAAGGATATTTCTTGCAAGATTCGCATCTCGAACTGCGCGCATCCCCGGACTCATGGTATCCCCAAGCTCAGGTTCCTTGCGCTCTTGAGTGGAATCTCTCAAATCACCAAGGACCAACAGCCGACCATCAACGAGCTTCGAGAAGGCCTTCCATGCTGCCCTCATTTCACCCCCGTAGAAGCGGTAAGCTCTCCGCAAAGGAGGTGGCAACTCTTCCTCCATCAAGCCGGCGACTCTCTCTTTGCGGTGGGTGCTCCCGCGGATGAGAGCCTCTCCAAATCTTTCCGGACAGAGCTCCAAAATCAAAGCACTGGGACGGAAGCTGCTGATGACATCGGTGGCTGCGCGGGCAGCAAGTCGGCTGGCATGGTTTCCGCCGACCATCTTTACAGTTGCGACGCCCACATCCAGCTGCCTTTCCTCAAACCGAGCTGCAGTTGCTGCTTCGTATAGGAGGTCGCCGCACCATTCGGAAAAATATTTGAGCATGTCATCTTCCATGCCATTGCCAGCCTCAGGCTCTCCAAAGCCCCTCGCCCTGCAGGAAATGCGGGTTGGCGCCGGCCAAAATGGGCTGGTCTGGGCAAAAGTGACACGGCCACAAATCGAGGCAGCCATAGCCATTGCTAGCACGGCCAATAGCACCAGGTTCCCCCTGGTGCGCTTATTTGGTCGCATGGTCATGGACCCGTGCAAGCTGAGCAGGGAAACAGCTTCCAGAGCCAGCTGTAGCTTGCGGCTACAAAATCAAAGGTTCTATGGCATTGTGCAGCCCAGGCATTGTGCAGCCCAATCAACGTTCAAGCAGGAGGCGAATGACAAGGAACAAAGCACTTACCGAAGGCTGGCAGAAACACTTATTGCGTGAACCAGGCAGGCCGGAATGCCCGTCGCAGTTACCAGGTTACCAACAACTGATGTTGCAACTATGTGTGTTGGACCCCCTTTCGGCAGAAAAGGGCCACAGGCCTGTGACAAGATGGCGCCCAGGTGGACGCCCAAGCGTTGACCAATGCCCCGCCAGCGATGGAAGAATTTGTAGGACGCCTCTGCGGCGCGCTCGTACTCCGCTGCTGCGTTTGGAATGTCGCCTGAGCGACAAACTAGAAGCCGTATGAGTCGGCGACAATAGAACCACAACAAAACAGTCGGGGTTTACTCAAACCGTTGCACACCATCTGAAAACCCAAAAGGGGCCACCCAACATCGATAGCCTAGAGTACAGTGTGTTGCTCAAATGAACTTTGATCCCATGTTTGCCAGTCGGCCGCACTGATCTGTAAGCGCCCTCTGGCAAGGGCTCAACAATCTGAAGCGAGCTTTAACTAAAACAAACAGGATTGAGGAGAACCATGGACAACTGACTGTGGAAACCTAAGAACATCGATAAAGCTGTAAGATAACTTAACGTGATTGGAGCACGCTTAGCTCATGTTGAGTCAAACTCTGGCTCAAAAGACTTGAGCGGATGAAACTGCCAACCTCAGGAGCATGACTGCCAATTTTCCTGCGACATCACTGAGGAGAATTCTACATTGACATGGATGGAATGGTAGTGTGGCCAATTTCAGGCCCGGAACGCCTGAGCTGTCAACCAAGAAGAACTGTCCAGCACCGATGCATCACCAAGGCAGAAGGCCTTTCTTTTCCAACCCCAGCAGTGCTTCCAAAGCTCGACCCCAGAGATAAATTTGAAAGAGACAAATTACTTGATCAGCAGGGTGCTACGAAGACCTGTGAGACAGCAAGTGATGGAAGAAGAAACATATCAAACATTGTGACCTTCTTGGCCAAAGAAGAGCAAACCACCGAAGTCGACTGAACACCTTGGCAAATCAGCTCCCATAATTCTTCTAGATGTAACTTTCACAGCCACGGCGAACAAGGCAATCAAGCCTCAACTTTGACCCTAAGCATCTTCAAAGCCAAGTGGCCCAGCTCCCTGAAATGGTCCCCTGCTTTGTGCCAATCCGTGCTCCGGCTCCGTTGCTCGGCCGCGAGGCGCGACAAAGCGGCCCTCCGTAGCTCCAAGCAGTAGGCTGAGTAAAGCGCCGCCCGCACTGCCAGCGCCGGCGTCACCAGGCGCTTCTCCGCCAGGATCTTGGAACACGCGCACCTGGGACTTCGCCCTTCCGATGACAACCCATTCAAGTTGTCCCCACACCCGCAAAAGAAGCTCGAACACAACCTGAAAGCTGTTGAAAGGTGGGATCTACCTAAAAGTCAGCACGGGCGGCAGCTTATTTTACTTGAGCCAGTATCATGTCGGTATGCCATTACCTATCAACACCCCCCGCTTTGCAGAGGTGCGTTGGTGAGAGCAGTACTTTGTACATGTTTCCCCCCAGGCCTGAAGCAAAGTCCTCTGAGGTCGAGACAATGAAGACGTAGAGCCTCAGTGGGATAGGTGGCAAGTCATGGTGAAATGAGGCCTCTTGCATCAATGGCCGCTGCAACTGCGATGCACATGGACTTTTGCAGGAGCATGCCACTTGAATCGGCCGACCACGACTTCCGTCGGGCAAAACACATGTGATTTTCATGTGAATGCTTGAAACTGAATTCACACTGTTGCCATAAGCGGAGGTGATCTCACGACCACAGCTTCCGCTGGGCAAAACTGAAATGACAGCCGGTGGTGGCGGCCGTGGATTGACCTACGGCCGCAGCTTCCGCCGGGCGTGCAAACTTGGCACAGCTAATGTTGCGGCATCAATGGATGAAAGATAATAGTTTTTGAACATGACATCACCAATGAAATTGAAATGGTTACCGCAACAAAAGCAAACTTTTGTGATTGGCGCGGGTGGTCACCATCCCCACGGGCCCTGACGCCATTGATGCCATCCAGAGGACCACCCGTACCAAGAGCTCCAGTCCTGGCGCCCCGTGTTCTTGCCTTTGCCCTTGCCCTTTCCCTTGGCATAGGGCTCGGGGCGGATGGACCGGGTGATTGCCCTCCACTGGGTGTTTCTCGCCTCAACAGGATAGGTCCGCGTCCGGCCGGAGGAAAATTGCGGGATCTCGAGTTCACCGGTGCAGATGGTGCCCTGGGAGTCGTACTTGATCCAGGAGGCACGAATGAAACTGATCATCCTTCCGGGACGTATGATCCGCTGTGCCTAATGATAATTGGCACCTGTTTGCCCGGAATGAAACGATAGGCACACATGACCGCAAACTGCATGATGCTGTAAAATCTCGCATGGTGCGCAATGAAAGCCTCCGTGGGAACGTTCAACTCGTGGGGATCGCGCTTGTTGAGGCTGGGAATGAACACCAACTTCGTGCCAGTGTTCTGAGACCCTCCCCGATCGCGTTCCTCCCGTGTGCGGCCAGGGTCTGCAACAACCGCTCGGGCGATCCTGCCAAGGAAGTCAAGGCTCTCAGGAGTCAACCCTTGCGTGGCGCAATTATAGGCGTAGAATGGGTCGACCGAGAGCCGGTCGGACACCTTCTCGCAGCCCATCGCCAGCGCCTTGGTCAGATGCGTCTTTGCCGTCTTTCTGAGTGACGCCTCGACGGAGATTCCTCCCCGCTTGTCGCCTTCCTTGAAGTGATGCTTGGAACGGATCCACTTCCCACCGCCACCTTGCAGATCTTCCAGGTAGAAAACCATACCCTGGAGGGATGCGGTGTGCTCGAGGCGCACAACCTCGGTGGCAATTCGGGCGTCCGTCCATTCCACCATGTCTGACCGGCACTCCTGACACAACAGGTAGCCGTCAATCTGTTGGTTGCCGCACCTCTTGTTCCAGCATTTCACGACCGGAATCTTCATCATGGTCGTGAAGAAGAGGTCCTCCCAACGTGGCTCGCTCTGGTAGCGGTTCCGGAGGTTGTTCCAGCCGCGACCATACCCTTTCTCTCCCCTGGAGAGCTCGGGCAATTGTCGAAGGGTTGCAGGCGCAACCTGATATGTCGGGCCTGCTGGTCTCTCATTCGACTTCCCCTTCCGGGGAGCGAGCTCATCGATCGTGGCAATCTCGGTCACGGCACCAGGAAGCAATTTGCCGTTCTTCGTCCCCTCAACGACGGTCCGCCAATGCTTCCATGCCTTCTCTGCGGTCAGGGTGTTTTCACTTCTGAAGAAGTTCGGATTGACGTCCTGGGGCCCAGGCGCAAGCTCGGTTGTCAGCGCCTCGCGATACCTTTTGCGAAGCTCAGGGTACGCACGATTGAAGTAGAGGAACTCATTCTTGCGGGTATGGAAAGCGTAAATGATATAGGCATTTCCAACCCAATCGGCAGACATAAATGCCTCATCGCTCGTGAAGAGTCGAATGCCGTCTTGCATCATGAGCTCCGTATCAAAAGCAATCGTGACGAGCCTTCCGCCTCACGTTCCTGCCAGCTTCCTCATCTGTGCCTCCCAGGGTGGCGTGGGGTTGAAGTAGACGTGGGCTCTGCCTGTCGACTTCGGATAGCCCCCCGGGACCAGGCCGAACTTGAGGATACTTTCAGCCGACCTGAGGTCACAGGTGTGGTAGAGGACCGCCGGGAAACCCCTGCGCCAGAGATCCGTCAGCTCGGGATGCCGCACCGCTCTCGGGTATTGCCCGCCCAAGTACTTTGCCGCAGTGAACTCTTCGTCAAAGGAGTACAAATTCGTCAGGATGGCCTGCTCAGTGTACTTCCTGGTGAGTTCGTTGTGGTGTCCTTGCACGGCCCTCACCCGCAACGCCTGATACGGCAATCCTTTCCAGGATGCTTCCCCCAATGGAGGGGGCCCAACCATCACGCGGAATCTGCGGGTGTTGTTATTCCGGATGCAGATCATCACCTCCCAAGGCATGACGTTGGCGATCCGGTCATTCAGATGCCTGACCAGCGCATCGAATTCCACCGACAGGTCAATTCCGCGAAACGGCGGGTGGGGCTTCCCGTCCTTGAATGCCCCTCCCCGGAGGAAATAGGACATTTTCTTCGAAATTGCTACCAGTCGGTAGTCTTGGTCCATGTTGACCTTGGGGACATGCCCCATGTCCTCGACCTCGAGCCACTCGCTCTGCTCCTCGGCCGGGACCTTGGTATTGATCTTCCGGGTCTTCGCCCAGTCTTCCCAGAAGATCTTCTCTTGCTTAGGGTCTTTCTGCTTTTTCGACCGGGGTTCCCCCTCGGCGTTGCCTGGCGGCACCTTGGCCTTCGCAATCCTCGGCATCGCCTTCACCTGGGCAGCCGTGGGGTCCGACTCGTCTCCAATCTCAATGAAACTAGTCGACTGGGGTTCCCCCACAGCGCTCTTGGCAGCAGCTCCGCGCCTCGATGGCGGCGGGGTTGGCGGTTGCTTGGATGTGCTGGTGCCCTCCGTCACGGACTCAAAAGCGACCGACTCCGCGGTGATCATGGAACTCATCCCTGCCGCCTCGGAATCATCAGCTTCTGACACCAGCTCCAACGACACCACCGTTTCCTGATCGAACAAGTCTCCTTCCGCGATGATGATCGACTGGCCTTCCGGCGCAGCACGGTGCACTCCTGGGGGCAGGTTCGTTGCATCCCATCCAAAGTCATGGGTGTCATCGCCCAGCAAGAGCCACTTGTCCTTGTCCTCATCGTCGGGCACAATGGACAAACCGTGCTTTTCCGCCGTGCTGTCAATGTACTGGGACATGGCGATCTCGACGCGGTCTAGCTCGTCGTCGGAGTTCTCTTCCCCCTTGTCGACGGCCTCGAGAACGATCTCGGATTCGTCAACCTTGGCCCCCCGCATCTCGATGGTCATGGCGTTGTAGGACTCGTCCTCAGCCACTTTCATCCAGGCGGCCACGTCGGCGTCGATCTCGTCGCCCTCCTGGTCGTGGGACCAGTCGGGCCTCTCCTCCATCGCAGCATACTCGTGGAGTGCTTTGGCCAGCTTCAAGCACGTTGGCCAGCCAAACAGCACAGGATCGACCGGTTCACCTTTCACATAGGGCTCAACTCTCCCGATAGCTGGGAGAGCATACCTGATCCGTTGGGCCAACAGCTGCGTGTTGAGTGCCGCATGAAGGAATTTCGACACAACCTTCCGGTTGGCATTGCTGTATGTCATGTGCACGTCATCGTACCTGTGAGCCAGCAATGTCATGACCGATGGGTCGATCGAGTCGATCGCCTTGATGCGGGTCCCATCGTCGATGTCCCCGTTTGCAAGGTGTCGAAGGCAGCCGTTCATAGCCTCGTTGTAATCGGACGTGAGGGCATAGTCCTCGGCGTCCGGGTTGCTGATGAAGGAAATGTCTCGAATGCGTCCGAGCCCAACCGCCTCCTTGAAGAAGTCGAGCTGCTCGTACACGCGAGTCTTCTGAACCTTCGGCCACTCTGACGCGGCCTTCCGGCCCGCCTCCGTACGGTTGAGCCTTTTCTCATGGATCCATCTGCACCCCACGAACCCATAGTTGCCGAAGACATCGTTTCCTCCCCACAACACGTAAACCGAAATGGGAAGCTGTTTGATGCCCTTCTGAGAGTTGTCCTCGGCGATGAATCGCACTTTGGCCTCCATGGTGCTATAAATAGCTTCAAGCCCCTTTCCCCAATCCATGCCGTGGTAAATGTTGCGGACCCCCTTCAGCTGTTCGGCCTGAAGCAGTTCCGCCACATGATGCTTGGTCGGGAATCGGTCGTTCGGCTCTTCGACCATGGCGCAGGAAGAGTCTCCAATAACCAAAATGTCGACCACCTCTTCCGAGGGGCATGGCACAGCGCGAAATTCCGCTGGGGCGTTGCGCCCTAGGACTTGGATCAAGTCCCAATAAGCCATTTCTGAGTTGCTCCCGGCTAGGGTTCCCCCCAGCATCACTCCCGGTGCTTGTTCCTGCGATGCGATAGTCCGCGTCACCGTGTCCGGCTCCGGGATGGTCGCAATCGCTGCCTGCGTTTGGAATTGCTTCATCAGCTTGTCCCATTCCACCAAATTGTAGATGGTACCCTGAATGTCGAGCTCCTTCTCCAACACGTCGTTGAGCAGGATATCAACGGAGGGCGCGAGGGACGACATCCTTATCGCAGGAGTTGATTGAATCACTCGGGAGGCTACTGAGATCGAAAAGGCTGCGTGGATCGCATCAGTAAGTTTGAATGTATAGTTTTCAGTGTTCTTAAGTGATTGGCCTCTACCTTGCGCATGTGGTG